AATCTTTTAAGGTATGAAAAAAAGAATAGATTGCTGTAGATAATCTTTTATCAATGGTAACATGATATGATGTTGGTAGTGGTAGTTAGTTAGTTTTTATTTTAGTGTTGTTGTTTTTTGTTTGTTTGTTGTTTTTGTTTGTGTTTCTTTTTTTTTGGGGGGGGGGGAGTATCATTCGTTCTCTCTCTAATGTTCACCAGTATTTGTTAAATTGAACAATAAATCCTTAAGTTAATATCTATAAATTCTTCCAAAAAATCTGTATAATAAATACCCCGTTAGTTTTAATACATTTTTTTTCTCGCACTAGTTATAAGATTTTCTAATTTTCGTCTGTCATATTTTTAGCCGATATTTAATTAATTAAAAGAGAATGTATTTTGTTAAAAACTACATTTTCCATGTTTTGACTGCTTGAACCAGGTGTAATATCTTATACATGTACGTTTTAATTTTCGATACATTATTCAGTGTCATACATCTTGTTATTTTCTGGTCCAATTGTAACATTTATGGTAAAAAAGCTCATTCAGGTGTCATTTTTAATTTATTTTATCCTTTTTTTATTATAAAAGTATTCTGCGGCGTTCGTTTTGTTCGTTGAACATATGTATCACCACTCCTCTATATATTTCAGATGCCATCGCAACCGAAATACCAACCCGCGTCACTAAATTAAAAAAATAGAAAGACAATTAACTTATCAACTGAATTGAGCAAGCAAAATATATAGCACGACTAAAGCAGAGTGCATACACAAATGTTGTTCTGTGTGGTATCATATTTCATTCTTTTATATTGCATTAATGCCTTTGCAATGGGATTTTGAATTACACCGACACAAGATCCTATTCCTAGTAAGATTTATTATTCTAATTCTGTATACCAATATGGCGATACTGGTGTTGATACATTTGATATGGTAATATTAGCTGAAGTTAATCAATTATCGCCTGCAACTTTACCTGTAAAGTCACCATTTCAACTCCTTTTAGTCGAAAGTCAAGTTATGTAGGTGTATAACCTTCAAAAACACAAATTGATACTTTGGTGTTAAAAATTACATCTTGTCAACCATGACAATAAGCTACTCTAAACCATATTATGATAACAATAGTGAGTGAAAACTGAATACGTCTGTCTATTCAACGTGAAAAGTATTGTATTTCTATATTCTACAAGAGGTCACAAATCTAAAATCAGCACAGACTATTTCTTATTTCGATGAAATCTATATTTTAGCTCTGTTTAATTGTAAGTGTGCTCATGACATTATATTGTGTGTTAAAAATTCAGACCATGTACAGCCTATTATGACCATGAATATATTGTGCAAACGAAAAAAAACTGAAGCTTGTGTCTAATATAACCCAGCATTTTTAGACCATCACTTTTAACACGAATAGTTGTAGTTCAGATTAAATAGCTTGTCGTTCGTGCCTGAAATAATGCACGGAAGGGCACCTGAGGTCTTCCTCCACCAGTAAAGCTGGAACGTCGCGATATGACCTATACTGTGTCGATGTGACGTAAAACCCAAAACAAAAACAAAAAAAAAACAAAAAAAAAATAGCTTGTATGTCTTGTTCTTGTCAATAAATATATATTTATATGTAAGTTCTTGCATAAACGTTATTTTTATTCTTATTATTAATAATAATAATGATAATTGTTATTATTATTATAATTTAATCCATTGAAATGTAATTCTTTCCTGAAACATCCTATTACTATTACTGTAAATTTACAGCTGAATTGTGGCAGTTAAAATTAAAGTAATGTAGGTTAAAATAATGACGGTTATGACATAGTGTCAGCTAGGGTCTGTTTGTTTTTCGGTGGCGATCAAGGCTTCTGGACAATGGGATTGCTCTCTGTGTCATGAATCGCTTGGTCACCATGGGCGGTTCCAGCTCAAAAATTACAAATAACTCTGCTTTTGGTTATTTCTCATTGTATCATCTCGGTAATATGGTAACAAAATATTAGAACAATTGTTTCTTTCTATTTATGCTCAAATTGATAAGAAAATAAATTGTCAGTTTAATGGGTTTATCTGTATTGAAACAATATTAAAGGCTTCACTGTAAAAATAATGATCGACAACAAGTTGTTTAATTGAAAAGTTTATTACTTAACTACTTTAGAAATAAAAAGAAATTATTGACAACTTGTCAAAAGAAAATGGATGCCCCTATAAGCTATGTACAACTGTTTCTATTCTAAAATCAAAATTATTTGATAGGAAAAATCAGCAAATTATACAGTACCTGTGAAAGTGAAGTACATGTGTCTCTGTTGACGAGAAACACATAGGCTACACTTTGTTTAAAATAAAATCACAACAGGCCAAATGCGAATTTAAATTGCAAACAGAAAACTCCTTGTTAAGACGAACATAATCACGGGAGGTAACGCATGCGCCCCTAAAGAAGAAAAATCACCGAGATTATTCTCCCTTGACAAACGTTACCTCGGTGTTACTTTAAATATACGTCACAAGGCGGTGATTTGAAATACTGGTTTGAAAGCCAAGCCAGATGCAACGTGCGCGGGTGGGGCAAGTTTTCATCAAATGGGCTGACTAAACTGGACTTATTAAATTGTTTCTTGGCGTAGTCAGATTTTAAAATATCCCTGGTAGCGGGTAAACCAAAGACTCTCCCGTGAAAGCGGGTGGGAGCACGTCACATCGACCGACAGATAAATAACAAAACTTATTACGTTCTAAACAAGTTAATTTATTTCGGGAGCGAACAACAATTAAAAGAATAAGAAAGAAATACTTAAAGTGACATCATGCTCAGCCATTGGTAAATGGTCGTTGAACAGGTAAAAATAAAAATAACTTGACATTTTGTCATAATTGGTTCAATCGTACATTTTACTAAGAAAAATAATCAATAATACACATGACCAACGGAAATGTCTATAAATATCCTTTAAAATGTATCGGAAATGTGCAATTCCTAAGCATTCAGACCTCGACGGAAATGAGAAAGTGTAAATATTTGAGAAAAGTTCGTAATTTAATTTCATTAAAAACTTACTTTTGAAATATTTAGAATTGACCCGGGACATTCACAGAGGATCCACTTGACCCGAGACTGTCGGTTTCTTAGACAAACTCATCCCTGTGTAACACTGACACGCTGTAAAAGGGGTCCGCATGAATTTATGACCCGTACAATAAGTTATGATCCGGCACGGAGCATGTGCATTTGGTAAAACGATGGCTACACAAAAACAGATGATCGGAGAAATCTGGAAAATCACTTGAAAAGGAGCAATACTATAAAATGTCTGAGGAATACGACAATATAGAATGTAACATGTTTCATTGTGGACATGTGGACATTGATTAAAAACATTTGATAATGATGACAAGTTTTGCTTGTCCCTGGCTGATTTGACATTACGCTGCCTGTCAATCAAACAGGCAGGGGTCACAGAGATAAGCCAATCAGCGATTATAATCAGTTCCACGCTAAGATGCCTACGATGTCTACCATTTTCCTTAGACAAGCTACGTGTCTAAGACAATAGTGCAGAAGTAATTTAGAAAGGTAAATATTTTAATTTTAATCATATATAATTAAGTTACCAAATATAGTGACATTAGTTTATTATACAATAAGTCAATAATTTTCTATACATATGGAAATAACAAGTACGAAACATTTATCCTGGCTATAACACAATGCATTGAAAAGGGAAAAGGTTTAAACAAATCCACTTTTTCCCATTCTATCTATTAATAATCACATTACATATTATAAGGTCCCAGAATATCCAGGTGATATGACATTCTTTCGTTAATAACGTTTAGCGTCAATAAAAACGCAGCCGTAAAAATGCAAATATAATGAGTAAACATAATAAAAAATTTGGTGAAATTATCTAACCTAATTATTTCTACTAAAGTTCAATAAATTAATATTGAACATTCAAATAGATCTGCTAAAATACGAAACTAATACCAATAACATCATGTCTGATATATGTGATGTTTATTTTTGAAGAGAATAACGTAACGGTTGTGTTTTGTCGTGAATCATATCAAATGTATGTAAGCAATAAATAATCATATATCATAAAAAGTTAGCATGCAAAGGGCATGCAATTTTCTGAATCCATTTTAACAATTCATGAACAAATTAATGTATCATTAAAACTGAATTTCGCCATAAAACCCGAAAAATGATTTTAAATTTATTTGTGTCACTAATATGACTTTACTGTTTTATCACAGATATATAAACAATTTATATTTACATTTAGTTCCATGATTTTATGTTTCGCTACTTCAATTTCAAAAAAAAAACAATCATAACATAATCATATACGTTTTTACATAATTATAGTCTCTCTTTGAATTTGTAAGATATAATGATATTTTGTCAGTTTTAAATTTTCATTTGAAGTCAACAAGAAATAACACCATCTTTGCAAAACGTTTCATGCGTCATTAATGCGTAAATGCAGATTTTTTTCAATTTTTAAAAATACCGTAATACATTGAATTACAGTTCTACTATTCAATAAAACCATTTAAAACATCAAAAGTTTATATTTACAAAATTTATAATAGGTAAATTCATTGGTAACATTATTGGCACAGCAGCTTTGCAAATACATCGGTAGCGTATTTTGTCTAAGGTTCTTACTGACCGGGTCACGTGAATCAGTGGGCGGAGCGATCCCTTCTCTGGCGTAATGTCAATTGTAAATCAATTTACGACAGGAGTAAAGAGTTAAGACCATTCAGGAATACCCGAAAAATATCTTAAAACAATGATAATGTATAATTGCTTTAATAGTTAGCTTATGCTTCACGACAAAACCTTTTTTCTCTGGCGTTTTTGCAAAACAGGAGTCTTTTACAAAAAATGACAAAACTACAGAAACGGCACAATATACTACATACAGGAAAACCTAGGACCCACAGGAATACTTATGACCCACAGGAAAACCTATGACCTGCATGGAAAACAAAAACATGTATTTTAAAGACTATTTATTACTAGTATTCAGATCTTATAGAAGAAACAAACAAGATTATTATAAATCCATATCCATATCTTTTACATTAATATCTATCAACGATGGTTTTGATGCGAAAACTTTACCACTCTGAAGTGCGGCCTTGGTGGTCAATCCATACGTATCAAATAACAAACCGGTTTTAAAAAGCCGATTTGCTACCCTCATTAGACCGATACTATTGTAAATCATTATCGAAAAATAAAACATATCTAATACATGATAAAACAATATGAGTAATGAAACCATATGAATTCCATCATACAAAAGATCAGAGCTAAATCTATATTTTCCTTAAGTGTTTATGGTATTGACATAAATGCTTGGAGTATAATACACAGTAAAAACTATAAGAAGACAAGCATACAAAGACACTTGTAAAAACAGTTTTACAATTGAACATTAAAGAATTAGCATCAAAATCATACTTACATATTATTGAAATGGCTCTGATTGACAATTTAAATTATGCAACTTCCGTTTCGAGCCCTAGATTTTTTATAAATGACACAATCATTATATGCAAATGATTCTGCACTACAACTTCTTACTCTGGGTAAAATAGAGCAACCATTTGCACTCTACACAGTCGTATGTGCATTGATAGAACCTAAGGGAATAAGTTTTAAAGCCAGTCAGAACGATTTTGATCTTAGGAACATTACATGTTTTATATTGGGCAACCAAATGAAAACTCTAAAATGTTAATATCAATATGTGACCTATGACCAAGATCATGTACGAACCTTATTGATGTTTTCTGTTGACTTTGTGTTAATCTATCCAGAAATAAGGCCGTGAAATCAATGATAATCTTTATGATTATTGGGTCAGTTAATAGCCAGAAGTTGTTTAGTAAGGTATTTCTGATATTCGCCTTTCATGAGCAGTAATTTATTATTACATTGTGTTTTACTCCACATTAGAGGTTCAATATAATTACCAGACAGAAACTGGTCATGCGTAACACCAAGATACCATGGACACTACATTACATCTACATTGTACGTCGGCGCAATCACACTTGATTATGACGCGACGGGTGGTGCTAGGTCAAGAAAAAGAAATATACAAGAAATGATAGAAAGTTAGAAGAGGTTGGATAGTACAAAGGTAGAGATATTCCAGTACCGTCCATGAACAGGCTCAATCAAACCGAGCCTGCAACATTTTCAATTTTGCCGTGTTGGGCTTTCTTTAGGGATTCTGTATTTATCTATATATAGACAAAAAGTATGGCAAGCTATATTTCGCCTCTTCAACCCAAACCTCTCCGGTTACGGTGGCCGCTGCCGGCACAGCCTTGGATATCACTAGTGGGTACTTGTAGCTGGGCCCATAAGGCGACTTAGAATGTAAGGCTGATAGCCCCTGCTTGAAGGATACCAAGTCAGGGGCCTCTGCAACGGAGGCAGGTAAGCTGTTCTATATTGTGGCTGTACGAGGGAAGAAGGAATTCTTGTAGTACGATGTAGATGTTGATGGTAGATGGAACTTCTTGGAGTGGTCACTTCTAGTGCGGCTCGTGGCTGGGGTGAGATAATCGCTGACTGGTATGTCCACAAGGTTATTGGTGATCTTGAACATCATGGTCAGCTGGGCTTTGGTCCGTCGTGACTCTAATGTCTCCCACTCCAAGTGTTGGATCATTGAGGATACGCTGCTTGTGTTGTGGTAACGATTCGTCACATATCTTGCAGCTCTCCTCTGGACCATCTCGAGCTTGCGTGTAAGGTCCTTGGTATAAGGGTTCCAGACGGTGGAGCAATATTCAAGGCCTGGTCGCACGAGTGACATGTAGGCTGTGCTCTTGACCTGTTCATTGCTGATGCGCAGGTTGCGTCGAAGGAAGCCGAGTGTACTGTTGCCCTTCTTTACGATCTTGTCAACATGTTGATTCCAGGAGAGGTTTCCAGACATATGGACTCCGAGGTACTTGGTTATCGAGTCTATCTCGAGTGTGTGGCCCTTCAAGGAATACGGGTATATAATGGGGACCCTGATTATGCTGCATTTCTCTGGGTGGAAACTCATGCCCCAGCGTTTCTCCCACAATGCCAACTTCTTCAGGTCATCCTGTAAAACGTAGCAGTCCTCTTCAGTGTTGATTTCCCGGTATACCACACAGTCGTCAGCAAAGAGTCTGGCTTTGGACGTGACATGAAGTGGCAGGTCATTGATGAAGACCAGGAAGAGTATGGGTCCGAGCACACTTCCCTGGGGGACTCCGCTGATAACGGGTGCTTGGTCGGACGTTGCTCCATCAACAACTACGCACTGAGTGCGGCCTGTGAGAAATGCCTCAATCCACTTCAGGGTATGGTTTCTGATGCCATAATGATGGAGCTTGACAAGCAAGCGACTGTGTGGGACGCGGTCGAAGGTTTTGCTGAAGTCCAGTACAGCGAGGTCATGTTGTTTACGCCGGTCCATGGACTTGGTGAGCTCATCTGTCAGCGTTAGTAGCTGGGTTTCGCAGCTCCGCCTTCTTCTAAATCAATGCTGGCTGTCGGTGAGTATCTTGTGACTATCCAGATGATTCATTATGTTGGTAACGATGATGTGCTCCAGCATCTTGCAGGCTATGCAGGTGAGGGATACCGGTCGATAGTTGCTGGCTTTGAAGCGCTCCCCTTTCTTAAATATGGCTGACACGTTGGCTGTTATCCACACCTCAGGTATGCTGCCAGAAAAGAGGCACTTTTTGTAGATGACGACCAGGTATGACGAACACTGTTCAGCCATCTCCTTAAGGATGCGCGCAGATATCATGTCTGGGCCTGCTGCCTTCTTTGGGTTGAGCTTCCTGAGTAGTGTAAGCACTCCCTTGTTTGTAATCTCTATGTCAGGCATGGTGGGGGATGGTTCGCCCTCAGGATTTGGGATGCTGGATTTGTCCTCCCTAGTGAAAACAGATTGGTATTGTTTGTTTAGGATATTGGCTTTGTCGATTGATTCAGCATGTAACTTGCCCTTGTCTTACAGTGGTGAAACCCCACAGTTGTCCCTTCTCAACGATTTGATGTAATTTCAGAACTTTTTTTGTTTTGATGGTTGTTCTGAGGCTGGATCATTGGCATTGATTAGATCTTCTAAGTATAGCCAATATTCTTGTCGTTCTTTCTTTTGAGTTTCTCTTTTGGCCTGATGGTATCGCCGCCTATCCTTGAGGGAACCAGTTGATTTGAACTTGGATAGTAGTTTGTTTCTTTTTCGATGGAGAGTCTTTACTGTCTTGGTGATCCATGGTTTGTGTATCTTGTTACCCGAGATGGTTTTGGAGGGAATGTACCTGGTGACTAACGACTTCAACTTACTCTCAAAGATCTTCCAAGAATGGTCAGCAGAGCTGTTGGCCGTCTCTTCAGTGAACTGTGGTAAATATGACGTCAGTTCAGCCTTGAAGCTTTCAAAGTCAGCTTTTCTGTATTGAAGGACATTCCTTGGAGGTTTACGAACTCTAATGGGGCGGAGGCTTGACTCTATGTTGGGCTTTCTTTAGGGAATCTGTATTTATCTATTTTATTATCTAATCTATGAACACTGCGTCATGGTCGGCTATGCCAGGAAGGACTTCGCAACGGTTGATGAGAGACTGGTTGTTGGTGAAGAAGAGGTCAAGACAGGATTCCGTATATTCGGTTGTTCGAGTAGGTTTATCAACTATCTGAACAAGGAAAACATCTTTCATGATGTCTAAGAGTTGCTGGCATTGCTTCATGGGTGTGGCATGTAGCTGTGGACACTCATTGACCCAGTCTATATCTCCAAGGTTAAAGTCACCGCCCAACCATAGGTGCGCACTCCTGGGTATCCGCGAAAGGCAGGTGTCAAGCATGTCAAGGTATTCAAGGGTTGTCTTGGATGGAGGCTTGTAGAAAGCACCAACATACAGGTATTGGACTCCTTTTACCTTGATTTTGCACCATACCACCTCACAATCACCTGGTGGGTTCAGCTCTGCTGGCTCATCACTTCTATAAATGTCAGAAACAAGCAAGAAAACCCCGCCTCCCTGTGTTCCATCTTGGCGGTCACGTCTGTATGACTTCAAGTGTGGTGGGAAGACTTCAGAGGAATTAATGCTGCTGTCCAGCCAGGATTCAGTGCCAATAATGATGTCGGCTTCTGTTGAGGCAATCATATTCTCGAGCTGAGCCTTCTTTCCTGGGCCTTTAATAGACTGGCAGTTAATGTTCAGCACTCTGAGTGGCAGGTCATACCGTTTCTCTGGTTGGTTACCTGAAGTGGAGCTATGGAGTCTGCGATGCGGCGATGAAGTAGCATTGGGGCAGCTAAAGCTGATCTCACTGTCAATGTTTGAGGTATCGCTAATGTTGGCGAAACTATTTGTAGTGTCAAAGAGTGTTGTGTTGAATAAGCCAGTTGAGAAGTTTGGCAGCCCACACTGGACGCATTCCCATGTGTAGTTGGTAAGGGCTTTGTAGACCGCATCGGGCATACCCTTGCATTCTTGGTGATACCAGCAGTCGCATGTGTCGCAGCGAACACTAGGTTTGCCCACCCATTTACAAGCTTTACTACAAATGACACATGGAAATTTGAGCTTCCTAGGACCAGGGTTAGGTTCAATGTCTGACAACAATAGGGAGCAAAGATAAAGAAGAACAAGCCTGTTACGAAAACTGGGCCTTTCGCTTTCCACATGTGTATCTTCATGCAAGTGGAGAACTGCATAGATAGACTGATGGCAGGCCTATCCTGCACAAGCAAGGGCATATTGGTGGGTAGATCCACTGAATGGCATGGTAATCTGATAATTTTATAAAACAGAAGGACAGATGCAATTGAGAAAGGGTAAATAAAGTGTTTACACATGACTAACTTACTGGATGTAGGCCTGCAGAGTCATACAGGATGTTTACAAATACGCTAGGCATTCTGGGAGAAATTCAAAATGGCCGACATTTTGAGTATAAATGGACAACAATGAAAAGTCTGAAAAAGCACTTTACATGTATAATGGACCATCAAACCTGGTAAATATGTTCATTAGATATTCATAAACCAATTGCAATATTGAGATTAATTCCAAAACGGTGATTTTTGGAGAGAAAATAACTTTCGTGAAGAGAAGAAACAGGAAGTGACCGTAGCGCACCACCGGAAACACTCTTCATTAGTTGCATTACAACCGACATCGACAGATGTACCTGCTGGTGTTAACCTTGGTTTTGATCCAAATAACATTGTCTCAGTTCTAATTAAATGAAGAGAAAATATTTTGTGAATTTATCATTGACTGACAAATTGAGGTTTAACTAGCTGTATTGTTCCAATAAATTACCTATTCTTCTTAGCAACAAAAATGACAGAATCACCCACATACTTTAAACAATGTACGGTTTAATCAGGAGCATGTTTTCAAAAGGTTATAACATAATTGCAAATTATAAAGGAAAGCATGTACTGATTACATATAAAACCTTGGCAGCAAATTAAACATGCATTGCAATTATATGCAATATTGTCAAGTTTACACTTTATAAAACACTGCAAAGAATCTACAATTAAGGTATTACCGCCCTAATGGGCACTATAAGGAACCATACAAATGGCATTATATGTCAGATATATACCTTAAAGTACACCTGTATGCAAAATTTAAACAAAGTTTACCGTACTGAAACCAAGTTATGGCCACTTTTCTGAACTCAAGCTAGGATGTTATGAGGGACCTTTTTTAGAAATGAGGGACCTTTAAATAATCTGCAATAACATTCTAATGAAAAATGTTTTCCCATTAATTTTTTGGTAGAAAAAAGTATCATTTAGCTAACAATCCACATAAGCAAAATTATTGTTTCTGCTTAAAATTTATGAAATATCGTCAAATATGTATGAAAATGCTACCCTACCCCACCCATTTTTACCACGTGTCTGACCATTTTCCTACTAAGGGAGCCTAATTTAAAAAATCCTTAGAATTTACCCAAATGAGTTTCAAAGTTTCCCTTAATTTTTAAAGAATTATATTGGTTGATCTTGTTAAATATGAAAGACTTTTACCGTCTAGTTTTGATTTTATTACACTTTGAAAATATCAGGTACCAAATTTATTACAAGATTAACCATAATTTAGTCAATAAATACCTATATAAATAAAAAAAAATAAAAATTAAACACTTTTTTCTTTCTAATGGGACATGAGAGATACAAAAATAATGTTAAAAGATAAAAAGAAAGAAAAAAAGTTGACCCTTCTGGGGGGGGGGGGGATTGAACCCACGGCCCTCATTTTCAATGTAGTTAACAGTAGTTCTAGCCTATTTGAGTACTTTTCAAAGCGAATTATGCATTAGGATGGTAATACCTTAAACATTCTTAAACTTTATAAAACACAGCAAAGAATCTAAATTTAATACAAAACATACAAAGGGAATACATATTCATACAAATTTGGACAATTAGGTATGATATATATATTATAAATCTATGAATACCAACACAAAACAAGACTTTAAAAAATATACAAAAAACAACACATTTATGTAAAAAAGGGAAAAAATATTCATACAACAAAAATAAGCTAACTAATAAAAAATATTTAAACTAAATCAGATAAGAAATGAATAAATTAAAGCAAATTTTCGGTTGTCATTAAATTTTGATTTATCTTTAATTTATAGTTTAATAAGATGCATTTCATAATTGACACTATTTAAGCATCTGTTTCTTTCGAATTCGGATCAAACCAGAATGATATGAATAAAAAATTTATAAAACTTTGAAAAAGAAGCATTACTACCAATGATATTTGATTGTTTTTTTTTTTTTGTAAGATTAAATTATTATTACCTGAAAAACTTTTTTGAATTTGACAAGATGAAAAAATAACATTTTACTTACAAACAAACAAATTTTGTTTTTATTACAAATAGTTTAATTAAATTTCCTCAATATTAACTTGAATACTACAGTATCAAAGTCTTTTTTCTTCAATGGTAGCCTCAATTTTCTGACGAATTTCTCAAAAATACATGAAGGCTTGAGTTAAAAATAAGTTCAAAATCAACGTTAAATGGCGATTATATAATATTATTTATTTTAAACAAAACAATAAATGAACGCTTGTTTCAATTATAAAAACAAACAATTCAAGAAGAAAAAGGTTACACCATGCCGAGCTTATTTCCGCGAAATATCGGAAGTTTATCTTAGACTTTTTGACCGCCATTTAAAAAAAAAGTATTACACGCAAGGAAAAAATGCGCTTGATTAGGAGGAATTTCATTTTGATTTGGTAATTCTAAATTTATTTATAAGAAGGAAAAGTAGGAATTTTGAAAATACGGAATGTTTTGAAAGGCTGTCTTACAATCACAGGGTTGTACTAATCTTTCGGTCTGGAGACTGTCATTGCTTTCACATAATGTACTACAGTTATTGCTCGTAGGATGCTTGAATATGCACAAATGTCATTAAAAGCAGTGCATGAGGAAGTTAGTGTAATTTTTAGACTGTTAAAATGAAACAAAAATTACAGACGATATTTGTTGAGTGGTACATTGAATAAATTGACGTAAGTGATATTCGAAATCTAAGTTATTGATCAATTTCAGCTTTGTGTTTTGCTCTAAACGGTCAGGATACTGTCGGAATTGTAAGCTAAAAAAACGTGAGGAACTACATGGAGAAACTCTTTCGAATGTGGTATTTTCATTGACAAATGTGAAATTATATTTTGATAAATTTCACTGCGACATTATCCACTTCAAAATTCAGATAAAAATCAGTAACCCACTTACAACCATACAATAAACATAATTTCTGATAAAGATTATAAAGTTATAAGTTATAAAAAAGGAGCAAAACATTTCACTAGTGTCAAATAAGGTAAAACAATAAAATATGTTTAAATCATACACAGTGATACAAACTGTGTGCAGATAAAAGCAGTTAATTGTTCAATAATACCACGACAAAGCAGGCATTTGAATTGTGTATTATCTTGAGGTTTATATGAGGTACACGTGATTTACTCGTGCGAGCATATAAACAACTAAGTAGGATAAATGCCATACTTACAACTAGATTTAACATATATATGTAAAGAATCATAATTTACCAAACACTGTTGATTTTTTATTATATATACATATGTATTTGAAATATCAATATCTGATCAAATATCACAAAGGTACAAATATGATAAAACGTTTCAATAGATAACAATAGTCTGCGTTCTCAATCGTTTAACATAAAAAAATTACAAAAACACAAAGATTTACCAGATTGAGAGATTCACATGTGCCCAAAACGTCTCTACTCACGCGCTAACCTCCCACGACAAGATCACATTATAAAATTTTGTGTTTTGGTTTGATTTTATATGTTATGTTTTGCACTATGTATGTTTTTAAAAACAATACAGAAAACATCAACATGTAAATTCATAGTCACAACTTGCAACAATGTCAATAATAGTTGGGGTATACATGAATAGATAACATTAAGCAATCTTGATTCTTCCAAGAATATCATTTTAGTTCAAAGTCTTTTAGCATCTAATTCACTTTCCTTATTATGCAAACAATAACAGATTTATAAATACAACTTATTTACAATACAATAATAAAACAGTCTGCGAGATTGACACTCTGGTCGTAAAAAGGAAATGGTCAGTGATAGAATTATTGACATCAAACGGTCACGGACACGAGTTTCACGCGCTGTCAATCTTACCATTCCCAGGACATTTAGAAAAGATATCTTCTTCTAGGTTTACATGTTTGTTAAGGGTTATAAATTATTTTTGAAACGAACTCCATTTTACAAAAAGCCAATTACTTCATGCTTAACAAAAAAATCATCTAGATACATAAACACAATACACAAACTCGACTTTAAGAAAAACAAACTGTTCTAACTTTATAATCAATAATAAGTACAAAGCAGCAACAGCCTCAATCAATTTGCTTACAAATAAGAGACATATAATTTAACATAAAATGCATAAAAATATAAAGAAATCAGCAGTATTTACATAATATATATTTCAAGAGTGTCAAGATAAATGTCTTTCTATAAAGAATATAAAACAATTAAAGAACATCATACGAAAATGTAAATTTAAAATAATGTATATGAAAAGAAATTAAAATCGTGTAGCAAATATGATGATCCAACAAGTTTGATAAGTTATATAATTAACATTTCTAGGATTCAAATAATAATGATACATGAACGCACACACACACACACACACACACACGCACACACGCACACACGCACACACACATTTCAACACATTTGGTTGCCTTTAAAAAGTAATCATAATACATACTTCTTTCGTATGAGTTGATACATGGCACATTCAAAAACAAAATGAAATTCTTCTTCTATAACATTAAAGTTATTACAAATTGTTTCATTCAGAGGAGTACATGTGAATTTCGTCCACGTATGAGCATACTTGTTTGGTTGTAATATGTTTAACCATTTTCAGATTTCAGAAGTGAAATGTGTCAGATTTTAAAGCAAAATACACAATGTCCACTCTTTGCGTAAAATCGAAAGGTGTAACTACCTGTCCCAATTTCCAAAAAGTTAAATTTACAGACCGTCATTCAAAAATGACAGCACATTTTCTTGAAAATGTGTAATTATGTCAATTTGGTAATAAGAGTCAAATGTATACAGACAATCTATTTTGGTGTTACGCGGTTGCACAAAAAGTTGTTCAGTTGTAAAAAATGATTTTGTTGTAATTGCACTTCAGTAAAAGCAAAAATGATGTATTACTAAAACCAGCATCGGATAAAAAATATCAAAAGTTTTTTGAACTACAGTTCTTAAACAAGGTATCTATGAATTATTTTAAGGTCAGAAGCAAACACCTTTGCATACCGTTAGTGTCTGTTTAAATGTTGTATTTAAAATGAAGGTGTCTAAATTTGGTTCGTGTCCCCATAGAAATAACACTTCGAAGTATCAAGATTTAATCCCAATTGACGCCGGAGAATGGAGATGTTGTTGACGTTGATGTTGTTTGATTTTATTTATAGGAATTATTCTTGTATTCGACAATACTTTTTGGACTATCATCTATTGACTGAGTTGACGGCACGGTATAGGAATAACTTTAAATCATAAAAGGTCATTGTCAAAGGTTAATTATTATCTGCGAACGTCTGGAAACAGAAAAGCGGTAAAAAAGGAAACTATAGTCTCCCTTATTTAGAAACAATTAGCTTCCTTTTTTCTTGTCTAGGGATTCGTTGTTGCAAAGTCTTTTGAATATAAACTTAACTCACAGAAGGTACCCATCAAGCTCCTATGGTGCTGGATTATACGCCCGTTCATCAGGTCAAAGTTTCTCCGGATTTTATACTTGTGTAAGCACCAAATGAACAAAGGATATTGCTTATATACATTGCCGTAGCTTAAGTTTATAAAGGAAGACGAACAGTACTAATTTTATGCTGTAAAACTGCACTGCAAGCTCAGCGGTGTGTGTTTTACAAACAAAATGAAAGAATTAATTCTCTCTTCTTTGTAATTACCGTTCTGTTTGTGCTAATGTACTTCTTAGGATCTAGTAAAAATGGTGAACTGAGTAATAAAAAAGATTCTAAATTTGTTTTTGTTACAAGCACATTTTTGGTGCCTATCGTTTTGTTATTGCACCTCGACAAAGGAAAAGCTTTAACAAATCTCACTTATAACGTGTTCTTCAGAAGGATATGAAAATAAAATAAATTTCTTCAATAATTACTTAACTTATGTAGATGCAGAGATCAGGTGATAATTAATTCAGGGATAGCTTCGGAGGGAGACACAAAGAGAGTTATATGAAAAGTGTGGGTATTTCTCTTGGTCTGACTTACTTGCGAGCATGCATGTTTAGAAATCTATCAATCTCTCCTATATTTCAGTTATTTTAAGACTCATTTGCTTTTTGTCATTACATCACTGCCTTACTGATTGTACTCGTTCAATTAACTTACTTAAATTGTCACTTCTCGTTTGTAAAAGCTCGATTTCATCATTTAACTGTTTAACTTGCTCCTCTAAGCTAGTTATTATTTTTTGTATTTTTGAAAAGGTCGATTTGTTTGCATCGGTTGGAATTGCGTAACCATCTTTATTAAATTCTGTGTTCGTGCTTTGAATGTTTTCATTCAAACTCTCTATCTGCTTTCTCAAATCGCAAGCTTTATCAATTTTTGACTTGCAGTCAATCTTGTCATTTTCTAATCTTTTAATATTTTTCTCTAATTTTTCTTTTTTCTTGCTATATTTCTTGGTTATATATTCTACAGTCATGTCTGTTTCTCCATCCTGAGAGGTGAATTTGACTTCTCTTTTACGATGCAGTTCTATAATGTTCCAATATTTTTCGCTGTCCATTTGCCCATGTGCATACTTGTCTACTGCAATATCTAACACGGTCTCGTATGTACTGTCCTGCATACTGTGTGCATTTTGATCAATCATCATGGTGACAAGGGGTTCAATCATATACATGTGTTTATATTTCAAAGCAAATGCTACAGGTGATTGCATATCTTTATCCTTATAAGTGATTGGCATTTTGAGATCTATCAGCAATTGTATGAGATCTTCTTTTCGATACTTTATGGCCACGTGAAACAATGGCATGTGTTGCCAAAGGCTGTCCATCTGTTTTTTATCATGCTCCAATAACTGTCTTAAAACACTTTTTTTGTTTTTAAAGACAGCTGAATAAATAGGAAGATATCCATTTTTATCTTGTAAATAAAGTTTTGGAGACATTTTTAGAAGCAATTTGACAATTGAGTCATTACCCTTTTTGCATGCAAGGTGAAGTGCAGTTTCTCCATTATTTATACAAACATAGTTCAACTCATCGTCATCAATAAACTTATTCGACTCTAAAAATTCTATTGCCGATACGTTGTCTGCTTCCACAAAAAACATCAACGGACTCTTTCCATTTTTTCTATATTTTGACATTTTATTCTTCTCTAAGAGAAGTTTCATTATTTCGCAATTAGCCTTTTTAATTGCGCAAAGAATGAGGCTGAACTCATCACTTGCAGCATTCATCTCAGACAAAAGATAACTTACCTTCTGCAAATCGCAACTTTCTACTGCAACAAGTAGTGACATTTTCAAGCTTGTTTTCAATATGTTTTCCATGTCATCATTATTGCTCTCACTCATCTCAGAAAAACATAAGGATGCAAGTGAATCGAGTGAATTGTTCACTGCATATGACAGGACTCGAATTTCGCTCTCAAAATCATGCTTATCAAGTATTTCTTTAATACCTAATACACTTGCACCACAAGTAAAAACAGGCTTTGTCAAAAAGTCTGAAAACCTCATTTCATTTTTCAATGTTTCAAAAAAGGTTTTGCAAAACGATACTTGCTTAAAAGCGGAATGCAAAAGAATTGTACAGTTCATATTTTGACCATCATCGCTTCCCTTCCTTGACATTTGGTCAATAACGGAACAAATTTGTTTCACGGCATCGCTTTCATTCCTTTTCGAAGGTGATGTCTGACCAAATACAGAACACACATGATCGCGTAGGTTCTGTATGTCGGTATCTCTTATCGTCCTATCCGGGAGTAATATTTTGCCAATTACAGAACACAAATGGTCATACCGATTTTGTGGTATGATAATGCTCTCATCATTATCGTTGTCTTCATTTGTATCTGATTGTTCGGCAACACAGATATATCTTACGATGAAAGAGGCATTACAAAACTCTAAAGCTGCTGTCATGTTTCTAGCAAAAGCAACAAGTCCTACTGCATCACCTAACACATTGTGTTCAAACCAAAATATTTCAGTTTCGTCGTTGAAACAAACAAAATCTTTGTGACTGGCAAATGCATTAGGAATATGTCTTAATGAATCAAAGAGACTGTATCCTAAGTGTTCAATTGGACGTTTAATAGTGATAGGTGTTTTTAGTGGACTTTGTTCTAGATCAGACAAGTGAAGTGTTTGTAATGGCTGAGACCAGAGAACAAAAAATGCCAGAAATACGTGATTGCTTTTAAAAATTGTGTCAAGGCATGTCTTTATATGAGTCATCGGAGCTTCAAAAAATGCATCTCCTTTCTGAAAAAGGCTATCTTTGACACAAAATAGCCTAGCACATTCAGGAAATCCAATAATAAATGATGACGGTTCATTTGACTTCCTGACGCATTTTTCAATAAGAGTCTGATTAATTTCCCTTTTGTTCAATTTCAAATGACTTTCAATTATCTTTTCTTTCTCATCATTATCAAGTTTTTTCGACGAGATTTCAATCACATTGCATTGTTTAATACGGTGTTCAATAAACAATTTCTTTTGGGCATCATCCAAAATATACTTCCGAGATGTGATTATTAATTTCAGTTTTTTTTCTGATACTTCAGACATCAATTGGGGAAATATTTTCAGCCATTTTCTACTTTCACTTTTGTCAAACATAGTACAACCAAACATATCATCAATAAGTACAGTTTCAACATCATCTTTACTTGAATACATATCCCAATCTGCGACCGAATTAATCTTTAAACATTTGGCTGGATTTTTAACTAGCTTCTTACCCATTGTTGTCTTTCCCTCACCCTGAGCTCCTTTTATTACAACAAATCCATCCTTATTTAGCATCTTTTGGGCCTGTTCGTACATTGATGTTTTAACAAAGTAATCAGCTTCCAATACGTCAGAGACCTCCTTTTCCGACCGCTCTGTTCAAATGAAATTAATTCAAAGCACACGTGTTACATTATATCAAAATCATATTGCATAACAAACAAGTTCTGGTGGTCGGACCCATTTAACTGAAGCAGTTTATAATTTATCAAGCCATAATTACGGGCATATGATTTGTAAATATATAGCTCTCATGATAAAGTGTTTACAAAAGAAGCATTTAAGGTAGCATTTAATAATAACATTCAGTCATGCAGTATTCTTATGCACATACAGAATTAAAGGAATTCAAAAGATTACAAATTAATCTTACCACGGGCATTGACTGAAATAAAGATAAAACAGAATTTGTTTTATTTTTGCATGTCAATATATACCTTATTGCAAGGCGGGGAAGTTAAATATATTCAGAACAAAGTTTGCTGTGGAAATTGTTTTGTTGTATTTTGAAATAGTAACATCTTGGATGATCCTCTTTTTTAAAGCCTGCTTACATATTTTCTGGGGTCTTAAATATTTAAACAGAAAACATTTTTTACAATGGCTAGTACCACAACATATCAGCATAAATGTCATAATTTAACGACACATTCTAAAACTTACCTGTGTATGATTTATACGTTACCGTAACATTACAGAAATTCAAAAGAGATGTTTTGATAAGCATTGATATGTTTAGCGGCATGGCCGGGTGGTCAGTTCGTTAGACTAATAATCTAAGGATCTTTAAATAGCCGTGTGGGTTCAAACCTCGTCAGGGGCAAGTCGTTGTTTCCTTGAGTAAGAAACTTAACACTTCCTACACAATCGAACTAAAATAAATCCTGTATAAACTAAGCAGTATTAAGCATGACAGCAAAATCAAACACATTTATATAGTGTGTTCGAAATAAACACATTAAAGCGGTTACTGTTATATTTCCAACTAATACTAGTAGACATATAATGGTTTGAGTTTCTAAATGTTATTGTGGCCTTAACTAAGCTTTAAACATTGGTATTGTGTGACAGATTGAATCAATGTTCGAAACATCTACGGGAAAAAAATCCAACCATGAATATCAAAGTTATGGACCGAAAAAAAGAGGACATGCAGGACTTTCCTACTTAGTTAACGTTATGCTGTTATTTTGTAATATTCTATAAGCAGTTATTCTGCACAATATAAGCATTTTTTTTAATCCATAAGTAGGGTTTATACGGAATGAATCCCATAATGTCAACTTTAGCAAATATCTTTTGTCAAGCGACTGCGCTCGGACAGACAGACGATCGGAAAGACAGCTAAAAGATATATGCACCAATGAGTAGAGTTCTGGGGACTAAAGATACTGAATTGAATGTTTATTCCTTAGTTTATGCTTTGAATTATCATATCACACATTTAAATGAAAATTACAAATGTGTTTCCTTTTGATTTCGGTCTACTACGAAACGTTGTTGCCACATTAATAATCCTGTAGTTAAATTTTAGAATTTCAGGTCTATCACTACTTTTCTTATGAAAGAAATTAAGCCTAATCAAGTCTGCTTACTCTTGTTTAAGTTACATATACAGAAACAGAGGAAATTGTCAGACAATTTGATAATTAATTGGACTGTCATATATTTTTTAATTTTTCTTTACAGCGTTTCTCCTTGTTTATACCACAGCTAACTAGAAAAAGCAAAACTTGAAATTTTGATTTGGCCGCTATTTTGAATTCGATATTTGAAGATCAAGGACTAGATGCGCAGCCGTGGTGAAGCAAAAATATAATTCATCATAGTTTACTTAAAATGTACCCGTTAGCACATTTTTCGGTTTGGTGAAATATGTCCCCATATCTACATTATGCTTCATTCAACTTTGTCAAATAAATTGTTTAAAAACTAAAACAATAAGACGCGCGAAACAATCACTAAATATATTTATAAATACACACAGCATCACAAATTACCGATGATACTCTAATAAATTGTCATTATAACTGCATATAAGACATAATCAAACAATCACAGCGCCTCACACGTTTTTTATACCAAATAAAGCAGGGGAAAGGTGATCGGGTAAAAAACGAGGGCAATACTTTCTCCCGATTTTTTAAAGCAAAATACGTTAAAAAACCAACAACAAACTGAAAAAAGGAAGAACAAGAGCCACCACCGGGCGAGAGCATCGTTCGACTTTAAGGTAGACCATGGGTAATGGGCACCATAAAGAACTGTAAAATTGACAACATAGGACAGTTATATGTCTTCAAGGTCACCTGTATGCAAAATTTAAATAAAATTTACCGTGTTGTTTATGAGTTATGGATATATTTCTTAACTAAGACCTTGCCATTTGAAGGGCTTATTTTCAGAAATGAGGAAACTGTAAATAATCTGTAATATCATCATTATAAAAAATGTTTTTCTATTGCTCATTGTTAAGAAACAAATAATAACATTCAAGTAACACATTTCACAACCAAAATGTTTGGTTCTAAACAAAATGTTCTTAAAATGTATAAAAATGTAACCCTACCCCACCCACTTTTAACACTAATTTTACCATTTCAATATCTAAAATGCCTTATTCAAAATATCCCTAAAATTTATCGAAATGAGGGTCTGTTTTCAAACTTTGCCTAAATTTTTTCAAAGGTATATTAGTTGATCATGCGAAATATAAAATACTTTTACCGTGTAGTTTTTATTTTATCGAACTTTGAAAATATCTGGTATCATATTTGTTATAAATTTTGGCATTATTTAACCAAAAAAATACCTAAAATAATTATATAATTAAAATCAATTTTTTTTCTTCCATAAGGGATCAGAGAGATACATAAAAAATGTTAAAAAGAAAAAAAAGAAAGAAAAAAAAAGTTGCCCCTTCTGGGGTTTGAACCCACGCCCCTCAATTTCAATGTAGTTTCTAAGCCATTCTAGCCTATTTGAATACTCTTCAAAGTGGAGGTAATGCATTACCCATGGTCTACCTTAACTATATCTAAAAGCAAACAAAGAAAGGTTTGAACAAATCATAACGTTTCATTTTTATAAATATAATCGGTCTGTCTTGTCACATTAGTTTTGTTAATATATTTTGTATCTATAAATATACTCATTGCAATTGTAAAAATAGAAACACGCAATTTTATAAATAGAAACACGCAAATTTAAAAACAGAAACACGCAATTCTAAAAATAGAAACATGCATTTCTAAAATTAGAAACACGCATTTTTTTATAAATAGAAAGACGCATTTTTAAAAATAGAAACACGCAATTCTATAAATAGAAACACGCAATTCTAAAAATAGAAACACGCAATTCTATAAATAGAAACACGCAATTATAAAATAAATTCACGCAATTCTATTTGTTGTTGTTGTTTTAAAAAAAAAAGAAACACGCAATTCTAAAAATAGAAACACGCAATTCTTCAAATAGAAACACGCAATTCTAAAAATAGAAAAAATAAAATTAAAAAAATAGAAACACGCAATTCTAAAAATAGAAACACGCAATTCTATGAATAGAAACACGCAATTCTATAAATAGATACACGCTATTCTATAATGTTGTTGTTGTTCTAAAAATAGAAACACGCAATTCTTAAAATAGAAACAGGCAATTTTCTAAAAATAGAAACACGCAATTCTAAAAATAGAAACACCCAATTCTAAAAATAGAAACACGCAATTCTATAAATAGAAACACGCAATTCTTTAATGTTGTTCTAAAAATAGAAACATGCAATTCTTAAAATAGAAACACGCAATTCTAAAAATAAAAACATGCAATTCTATAAATAGAAACACGCAATTCTAAAAATAGAAACACGCAATTCTACCCAATTTCTTAAAATAGAAACACGCAATTCTAAAAATAGAAACACGCAATTCTATAGATAGAAACACTCAATTCTAGAAATAGAAACATGCAATTCTATAAATTGAAACACGCAATTCTAAATATATAAATACACACACACACCAATGAATATATATGGTCATATAATGCACACATCTGAGAAAATTCAATAATTTAACCTTCAAGGTCAAGGTCATTAAAGAGTCCAGGTCAATTTGGGTTTGATAAACAACAAGGTATTGTCCTTTAGAATGTTCTGTTATAATATGAAGTTGATCCCTTCAATGATAGCAAAGTTACAGCTAGTTACAGCCAAAACAATGGAAATTTCAATAATTTGACCTTCAAAGTCAAGGTCATTCATGAGTGAAGGTCAAGGTCTGTCTGGTTATTTTTCAGGGGTATCCTTGAAAATGATTATGTTCAAGTTTGAAGACAATCCATTCAAATATAACAAAGTTATAGCCAATTATAGCCAAAAAAATGAAAATTTCAATAATTTGACCTTCAAAGTCAAGGTCATTTATGAGTGAGCTCTGTCTTGTTATTTTTAAGGGATATCCTTGAAGATAATGTTCAAGTTTGAAGACAATCCATTAAAAAAAACAACAAAGTTACAGCCAATAATAGCAAGAGCAAGCAAAATTTAGACTTTTAACCTTGAAGGTCAAGGTCATTTATGGATGAAGGTCAATGTTAGTGTGGTCTACTGAAAGGTCTTGTCCCAAGGGTTGTTGTTGCCAAGTATAAAGACAATACACCAAGAACTAAAAAAGTTATGATCCAGGTACAAGTTTGCGGACGGCAACAGCATCGGCAACGCCGCCGCGACTATAACAATGCATCTACTTTTTAAAAAAAAAAAAAGTCGAGTTAAAAAGGAAAACAAACTTTACATCGACGAAAATTATACTTAGACGTAAATCCCGATTCTGAGTACGTATGTAACTGCAAAGATATAAATACACAACTAAGTTCGTTCATTAAACGTACTGTACATTTTTGTCGTTGCGATTTTTAATGAATACTGCTTTTACTCATTTTTGGGTTAAAATAATTGCATTTCTGCTTTAAACAAGCAATTATCATAGTATTGCAAGCAATCCATAAGTCCCCTACCGGTTAGAACCCCAGCAACTTTCTGATGGGCCATTGGCCAGTCAATTTTACCAGTGAATGAATGACGATGAATGAACTTAAATCTTTTGAGTTCTAAGTTTGTCTATATCACAGTAATGTGTTAAGTTTCCCTGCCTGGTAAGGAAATTATGTTTATACAACCTTGTCATATTATTACGATGTGGGATTTTAAAGTAAATCCTATAAGGAATGAAGAAGTTGGAGTGAAAAATACCAATTTCTCGAAATAAATCTAAGTTCAAGGGGAACATAATTCTGGAAATAGTCTTGCTAGAGTATTTAACCTTCTCAAAAATGTTGAGTGATAATAAGAAACATATATGAAGTTTGAAGTAGATACATTAGGAAACAAAGAAGTTATTTAAAAAAAACATTTTTTTCATAAAAATTTTAAGTTCAAGGGAGGTAATACTGATAATTTTTGTGCTAGAGTTGTAAACCTTGTCACATATGATGTGGTTGATGACCAGAAACTTATATTTAAAGTTTGAAGTAAACACCTTAAGAAATAAAGAACTTATAGTGAAAAAGCTGAAAATTTTAAATCAGAAATCTTGAAATTCAGGCTATTTGTTGCCATAGCAACCAGAATTTTCAACATGGGAAGAAAAGAAAAAGATGTGAATAATCTCCAGACTGCCATCTACCCATATTTAAAGTTTCATAAAAATATGTTCAGTACTTTTTGCGTTATAGCGGGATCCAGTTTATGTGTTCAATTTGCCATATTTTCAGACTATTTGTTGCCATAGCAACCAGAATTTTCAACATAGGAAGAAAAAAAAAGACGTGCATAATCTCCATACTGCCATCTATCCATATATCAAATAATAGATAAAAAACAGAATCCCTAAAGAAAGCCCAACACGGCAAAAATGAAAATGTTGCAGGCTCGGTTTGATTGAGCCTGTTCATGGACGGTACTGGAAAGTGCAAGTTACCTTCCACGCCCCCTAGCACCGGCTTAAGCAGAATTCAACATTTATACATGAAATGGTACAATTTTGAATTTAGATTTTTTGTTTGTTTGTTTGGATTTTTACGGCACGTCAACACATAACTGGCCATATCGTGCCGAATGCTATAATAGGCTTAAAATATTATGTAAAACATTGTAAATGACAATAGAAATGAGCAAGTTAGATCCTAGAATACAAATTTATCTCTTTTAAATAATCAATTATGTTTTTTGATGGCATTGTATTAAACAGTTCTTTGAGTGAATTTACAGAATAAAATCTATTACGGGCCTGTGAAAAATCATGACATTCAAGAAGAAAATGCTTGACAGTAAAATTCTCATTACAACCTACACAGAAAGGGGCATTGTCATTTGTGAGGAGATACGAGTGGGTAATTTTAGTGTGTCCAATTCGGCATCGAAGAAGAACTGTTTGATCACGGCGGTTTGACAGAGATAGAGATGGTGACATATCAAGAGATGGGTTTATATCGTGAAGTTTATTAAAAACGGCATTGTCCCAATTTGCTTTCCATTCAGATGATACGAGTTTATTTATAGCTGGTCTAAAATCACAAGCAGGTAACAATAAGTCAGTTTTTCGAAAATTTAAAGATTGTTTAGCTAAAGCATCTACTTTTTCATTTCCTCGTATTCCTACATGGCTTGGAATCCAATATAATTTAACATATTTTGTTTTTAGTATATCATGAAATCGTAAAAGAAGTTTCTTTACCATGATATTGTCAGATTTTTTATTTTTAATGGATATTAAAACAGAAAGCGAGTCAGAAAATATCACAAATTTATCGTGGGTATGCTGTGCTATGTATGACAATGCTAAATCGATAGCTTTTGCTTCAGCAGTAAAAATTGATGCATTATCTGGTAACCTCATACTAGATGTAAAATTATTTTCAAACACAGCCGCACCTACTTTGCAACCTTCTTTTGAACCGTCCGTATAAATATGTATAAAATCTTCATGTTCTTCCTTAATTGCTAGAAACTTCTCTTTGAAATATTCAGGTGAATTTGATGCCTTTTTTATATTTGAAAGGCCAACATTTATTTTCGGGGAACCACAAGTCCAAGGTGGAACATCCTCATCGTCATTTTGAAGGATACTGTCTGGATTAACCCTAAGTTTATCCAAATCATCCCCCAAACGAAGGCCCAATGGTTTAACCTCCTTTGGCCTGTTAACAAATCCCTCAGTATAACTTGGTTCGAAAACAATACTTCCAGCTGGACCCTCCCTATTAGATGAAACTCCAGTTGCATATTGAAGTGATAGAAACATCCGCAGATGTGTTCATACGGCGGTTATCATGGAACCTTCAATGTGACACTTCCGTGCCATTCCATGAAAAGCGGCGTATGGTCCCCAAGTAATAAAATGCGTGTGCCCTAAACGAGAAAACAATGGGCGGAACTAAATAAAATGGAATTTTGAAAGGGGATCAGAGGTTATGAAGCCTGCGTATCACAGATAAGACGTCAAAAGACAAATTTAAAAAGCAGGCAACATATCCTAAGGGTGATTATATATCAAGTTTCATAAAAATATTTTCAGTACTTTTTGCTTTATCGCGGGATCCAGTTTTGTGGACGGATGGACTGACTAACAGACAGACAGACTGACAGACAGACAGACGGACGGAGGGTAAACCTTAAGTCCCCTCCGGTTAAACCGGTAGGGGACTAATAAACTATATCCAACAAAGGAACGAACTTCAGAAACTTTATCCCGTTGTTCTAGTCGTGTTGTTTTTGCTGCTGTTCTTGGGGGCGTATTTATTTATATTTTTGTGTGTATTTTTAATGTTAAACAAATATAAAGAGGCAAAGCAAAATCAAAATATGATATGACATCATAGAACATGTCATCATACAAAACACGCAACAACACACATGACATATATGTCAACATGTGAAAAACATAAAGTGGTACTGATTTGAATCCATAATGATCAGTAATGAGATGTTATGATTTTAAATAATTAAAATACAAATTTACCTCTTGCACTTTGCTGCTTAATTGTTTTAATCACAAGGTTTTCCATATCAGAGTCCAGGAGCTTCCATTGGTTCAATATTTCAAGAAGATCCTTGACAAGTTTTTTGTCTATTGGTTCTGATTTGAGTTTCTCCAAAGAAGTTGGAAGATCAGGAATGTCTGCTCCAAATCGAACCAGTACCTATTACCATGGAAATAATATTAGGTTTCTAAGCTACGATTTTTAAGATCATGCTCAATAAAAGTGATCTTTATTATTCAAGATGGATATTCTAGGCTTTTTGAACAGTTACATTTATAATACTTACTATGCATCTTTGTGTGTTTCAAATTTGATACGGCGTTAATTTAACAAATCTTCAAACTAATTGAGTAAATAGATTTTAATTGTTAATGTTTTTTATATTTACCTGTGTACATTTTTGCCATAAATCGTTAAATTGACTTTCATTGAGTCTACCATCTTTAGGTTGATGAGTTACCTTAAAAAATCAGAATATTGATAATTGTATACATTTCGTAGAATGTTTTCAATTCTTTGTTTCATAATCGGCAACCAATTATAGCTTAACTACAATCTTTTAAGTGTTAAAAATGCATGTATTGACTTTTTTATATCCATAGTGCATATTTAGTATTCACATACTGCATAATCATAATGACAACATGTATTATCACTGTGTATAATATGAATAATGGTTTCTGGCGTAAAATTGAACTGTTATTTTATTAGTGAAGAGATGTGTGAAGCACAAGCATTAACATACTAACAATTAAAATCAATAATATTTGAAGTCAGGTCAGTTGTTTGGCAAAAATTCTTTTCCAAATTTAGGGTGTAAACAAAGTTTTCCCATATAAGGGATGTGTGACCGAGTTTCTGAACACAAGTGACCCATATTCGAACCAGACCTAGAAATCAACATAACAACCTTATTGACCCATTCCCAGGATATTTGGTTCATAACAGTTGCTTCTCAGGTGTTAACAAGGGGTTTCCGTATATGATCTGTGTGACTTAATTTTTGACCCCAGATAAATCATATTCCAACTTGACTTAGAACTCATCAAAACACCCTTTCTGACCAATTTGAATGATAGTTGGATCAAAACAGTAGCCTCTAGAGTGTCAATGAGGTATTTTGTCGTATTTTAGCTGTGTAACCTAGTTATTGACTCCAGGTAAACCATATTCAAACTTGACCTACAAAATTATCAAAACTTACAGGATATTTGGATAAAAAAGTATAAGCCTCTAGAATGTTAACTAGGTATTTTCTATATTTGGGTTGAGTTACCTAGTTTTTGACCCCAGGGGACCCATATTCAAACTGAACCTAAAAATTATCAAACCAACATTTCCGACTTATTTCCAGGATATTGGGATCAAAACAAAAGACACTAGAGTTAACAGGATTTTTCTGATTTTAGCTCCAGTAACCTAGTTTGTTTTTCATCCCAAATTACCCGTGTTGAAACTAATCCAAGCAAATACTGACAAGCATCCTGACCAATCCAAATTTCAAGTATGTATGTCACATTAACAAGAAAGTAGGTCAAATGATATCAAAAGCAGGTCAATGATATCAAAAATTCAACGCATAAAATTACACCTTTGGTCCAAATTTCATTTATGTATGTCAAATGATATCAAAAGTAGATCAGCTGTTATCAAAATTCAATTGAGCATCAATTATTACACCCCTGGTCCAAATTTCAAGTTTGTTTGATAAAAGAACAAGAAAATAGGTCAAACGATTTCAAAATATCAAAAGTAGGTCAGTTGTTACAAAATTTAATTCAGCTTTAGAAATTACACCCTTGGTCAAGCGATATCAAAAATATCGAAGTTGCCAATTGATCACATTCAATTCAGGATCAGTAAATACACCCCTTGTCAAAATTCCAAGTCTGTACGTAAAAAACACGAGCCACTAGGTCAAACGAAATTTCGAATATCAAAATTAGGTCAGTTGACATCAAAATTCAATTCGGTAGCAGAAATTCCATTCTTGGTCCAAATTTCAAGTTTGTACATCAAAACATAAAAGAGTAGGTCAAATGGTTTTATAAAATACCAATAACAGCTCAACTGATATCCAAATCAAATTAAGCACATAAATCAGATACCAGGTTCAAAATGAAAGATAATTTAACACTTTTTAACAAAACTTAAGAAAAGAAAAATTGAGCATACAAATTCATCTTTGTTAGTAAGGTACAAGTAACAAGTAACAAATGTAATCTTTGTTTCAGCCTAATTTTATATTTCAGGAGAATTCTCTACACTGACCTACAACTGATACTGCAGAAAAAATAATATTATGATACAATAATGTCCAAAAGAGCTAAAGGTCATTTACCAAAACAGAATACAAGTTTAGCCTACCAAAATTCCTTCTAGGGCAACACTAGATTTATAAAACAAGAGGGCCATGATGGCCCTACATCGCTCACCTGACTTATCAAACTCATCCAAACAATTACCTAGACAAGCATTCTGACCAAGTCTCATGACAGGTGAGTCAAAAATATTTGAGCTGTGCGACCTAGTTTTTTACCCAGGTGACACATATTCAAACTTGACCTTGAAATCATCAAAACAAACTTTCAGACCAATTTCCAGGATACTTGGATCAAAACAGTAGCAACTAGTGTGTTAACAAGATTTTTCTATTTTTAGCTCCGGTGACCTTGTTTCACATGCGATTTCGAACTCATCCAATAATTACCTAGACAAGCATCCTGACCAAGTTTGATGATAATTGAGACGAAAATGTGACCACTAGAATGTTAACAAGGTTTTTCCATATTTTGGCGGTGTGACCTAGTTTTTCATCCAAGATGACCCATGTTCGATCTTGACTTAGAAATCATCAAAACAAACTTTCAGACCAATTAACAGAATATTTGGATCACAACAGTAGCAACTAGAGTGTTAACAAGATTTTTCTATTTTTAGCTCCTGTGACCTAGTTTTTCATCCGAGATGTCCCATGTTCGATTTATTCCCAGCAATGACCTAGACAAAATTCCTGACCAAGTTTGATGACAACTGAGTCAAAATTGTGACCACTAGAGTGTTAACAAAGTTTTTCTATTTTTAGCTCCGGTGACCTACTTTTTCATCCGAGATGACCCATGTTCGAACTCATCCGAGCTATCACCTAGACAAGCATATTCAGGGCTGGGAATCAAAACTGCGTCGTATCCCATAAAATGTAAACAAACGCCGCCATCTTGGAACGAAAAATGTATGGTTTTGTTTATAACTTTTTTTGTTGGAAATGACTGAAAACCAGATATATGTATTAACACGCTACACTATTTTCTGCTTCGTTCGGTATATGTTGCTTGCACAACTATTTTGTAAAACAAAAGTTATAGCGAACTTGCAACTCGAAGCGGAGCAGAATTTTTATGAAAATGTGTGGATACGACGCAGTTCATATTGCATTATCTATCGTTTTTTCCTACAAATTTATTATATATTTGTTTCAGAGTTCCCCATAAACTTCTTTAAGATTGCCCAGGATTTATACCTTTGTCTTTGCAGTGCTATCATGTTTCTGTAAAATATGTGAATAAAACAGCGGGAAAATGATGCACTTAGCTAAGAACAATGGAGTAAATGAAATTGAAATGTGTACATTCTTTTCAAATGATGGAAAATGTGAGAAAAAATATTTTTTGAGCTGATAAATTGATGCAAATTCTTTATTCGATGAAAGTTATTCACTAAATGAACAAGATCATTTTAAATACATTTTGACTCTACTTGAAAAAGAGCTCTTTTTCATTTTTTTTACAATGTATTTATTTTTATTTATTTATTTTTTTTTGCTCTTCTGCGTATCAGCGTTTGACCAAGACATTGTAATCATTTACTGAAATTCAAAGGGCATGTACACTGAATAAACAACAAAAAGTCAGAAAATAATAAACATAACAGCACTATCAAACCTTCAGGCACATGTTTTGTGTCAAACTGGTGTTATCAGTATCTTGACAGCCAAAAACTTGTAGCAAAATAGAACGTGTTCTAACTTTCTTGCAAGGAATCATCTTCTTGGATGTCACATAATTTCTCTTTAAAACTCATTCAAGTAGGGTGTCTACACTATCCAATACAAGAGAATATGATACTTGCATTCAAGACTTGGATAGGTGTAGACGGGCCCTTATTTCAGGCAAAATGTTGCACCTGCGGAGAACCGATCGACATGTTTAAACTAGCTTGAGAGGTTTTCCACACGAAAGATTAAAAAGTCCCTGGTGGTTTTCGAATTCATAGCAGTTCAGTTCAAGTGATTTGAATTCGGTAAACATAAACAGCTCGACCTCGGTCGGACACACCTGTCTGATTTGTTTTTCCAACAAAATTTGTTAACGTCAGCTGTACATCTTAGCAGCTTTTTATTAACTTCTGGCATGAAGTTTTAAGATGATAAATATTTTAATTAATTATAAAGAGAATAATAATCTGATAATCTGACATAAATTTTCTGTTCAATATTGTGAAAACTTCTTCAATACTTTTGAAAGATCATGTCTGCCTATATCTGTATCAAATTTATCGGTGCACAGCGTAAAATAACTTTTTATAAAAATAATATTTAAGTGCAAATATAGAAAATACATTCCGTAGACCTTTCCTTATCGGCGTTAAAGAAATGCAATACGACAAAATCAGCGGCAAAGTTCCGTGGCGCTGAACATAAAATGACTAAACTGAACGCATAACCTACTTGCAGAAATATATTGTAGCCTAACCATTTATAATATGATTTAGAAAAATTAAATGTTCAGTTTCAAATAATAAAGCTCATCTGTTCTCATCGATTACTAAGAAAATGAATACAATAAAATCGGCACGTAAAAGACATAAGTAATAACGGAATTGACGGAAATTATTGCTAATTACAAGTAACAAAGGTAGGCATGCAATTTGCGCATAGCTCTCTTCCGATAGCAAGAGACCTTTTCAAAAATTGTAATTCTTTCTCTTTTTACTTAAAAAAGGTCATTCCTGATTAATACAGGGTCCAGGAGAGGTACACTGGAATATTGAATTTTGTATCAAAAATGGTAATCACTCCAATTTCAAACTCACGGCAACAATTTTAGAAGCACACTAAGGCAAAACTGGAACATGTTGTCATATGGGTGTGCGATCACGTGTTTCAATGTATATTGCATTTGATACAGCTTTTCGGAATTTGTAGATGCTTATGATAGATACTAAAATGCGACCTAATAGAATTGTTTTACATTTCCATTTTTATGGAACCATTGAGTGACCTCTGCTTTTGACTTAAGTTGTAAACAAGAAATGTTGTTGGACGTTATTAGCATGCCTTGCACATAATTTAAAGGGAAAGACAAGGTTAGAATAAAAACTTGATTTCAGAAAAAGAATACTATAAATAATAAGTCTGCAAATTTTCTGCCGCCAAATAATAATATTAAACGAATGATAACA